AGAAAAAGAAAATGGGTAGGGGCCATGAGGAGCTAAAGCTGGTGTCAAGAGAAGAGGGTGAAGAGAGAGAAGAGAACGTTCTGTTTTCAGCACAGAGAGGACAGCAGGTGATGGAAGGATAATGACAGAGGGAGGTGCCTGCTTGACCCCTTCTGACCTCTTTCTGGGTCCCGCGGCTGGGAAGAGCTGAAGGAAGTGGGCGCAGAATCAGTCCTAATGTGATGGGATATCCTGCCGCCTGCCTGCTAACCCCTCTTCCTCCGACTGTAATGTTCCCATCATTTTACGTGTGCAGGATGAGGCTGTGCTCAGGAGCAACACAAACATATGTATCATAGATACACTCATAATAACCTCATGCAATGATGCATACATGTCCACATGCACGCACACACACATGCACTGAGGTACACAGGCCTTCACACACGCTGACAGCAAAACACACATACACACACACACAGTAAATACACTTCTATTTGACTCAACGGCATTCACAGCCAAGGACACTTTCACTCAGGTCACTGCATTACGCAGTAATGGAGGACAGTGTTGAAATCATAGTACAGAGGAGGAAGAACCAGTGGATTACAAACATATAAAGTCTGCCAGAGGTGGCACCAAAAAAAACGATCATATCATGCAGTGCATTACAGCTGGTTATCCCACTCAGTACAATTTTACACATACAGTATACACCAACATGAAAACTTATCATGTGATAATGTTTAAAGGATGCACATAATTACCCTGAGATGAGTTTTTTTAATTGTTATTGTGTGCTTTTTAAAGCCAAATGCTGAATGGCTACTGTAGTCTTTCCAAAAGAACAGTTGTTTTATTTGCCATTGAGCTTCATTATAGTTTGTTACTAATGTCCCTGTCTGTCAGAAAAAGTTCAGCAACTTGTGGGTATTTTCTCTTGTAGAAAAGCTGGCTTTGCTCTCTACCCCCACCCATGAAACATCAAAGCATGGCCACACTGAAACTTCAAGCCCATTATGGCATTGGCCCTCCTACCCTCAGATCCAGTAATTACAGCTCATACAAAGCATCAACATTATTACTCGTCAAACCACAGTATAATACCACAAAGTACTTCAAAGAGACAACTCACATTTCAAGGGAAAAATAAAAACTCATGGATTATGCATTAGGAAGAACTGAGTCAATCTTGCAAAGCAGGTGGGGCTCAGATTGTGTTATCTGGAGCGAGACCCAAACTTGATAATCAAGATCTACGCTGGTGTATTTGAAAAATCAATTTTACATGATTGTTCAAGTGAGCAGGCCAATGTTTTGGGGTGTTTTACTGCAGCCTGCAGTTTGCATTTACAATGTTTTGCCTATTTCCCATGTAACAATCATATTACTGTAAGTAGCAGCCAAGTGTGTTTAGAAATTAAGGCTGAATTGCAGTGCATTGACATCCCAGCCATCAGAGATTTTTTTTATGTTTCGATACTGCCCTCTTGTGTCTCATGTTTAATATGCAAAATAATGTAAAATGTTTTTCTAGTTTTCTTTTTTATATTATTTTCTTTTACACATGAGATCAAGTTATAATGAATTTGCAGGTGTAAACCTGAAGCTCATGGACGTGAGAAGTACAGTGGGTACGGAAAGTATTCAGACCCCCTTAAATTTTTCACTCTTTGTTATATTGCAGCCATATGCTAAAATCATTTAAGTTCATTTTTTTCCTCATTAATGTACACACAGCACCCCATATTGACAGAAAAACACAGAATTTTTTTTTTGGGAGTGATGCAACAAGTTTTTCACACCTGCATTTGGGGATCCTCTGCTATTCCTCCTTGCAGATCCTCTCCAGTTCTGTCAGGTTGGATGGTAAACGTTGGTGGACAGCCATTTTCAGGTCTCTCCAGAGATGCTCAATTGGGTTTAAGTCAGGGCTCTGGCTGGGCCATTCAAGAACAGTCACGGAGTTGTTGTGAAGCCACTCCTTCGTTATTTTAGCTGTGTGCTTAGGGTCATTGTCTTGTTGGAAGGTGAACCTTCGGCCCAGTCTGAGGTCCTGAGCACTCTGGAGAAGGTTTTCATCCAGGATAATCTGGATGATTCTTTAACACGTAACATGTAATTAAACTTTATCATATTTATTTTCAGCTCCAAATAAGGCAGTGTAAAATGATGTATTTTTTAAAAATTTCCTTTTAGGTGTTTGCACTGAAGAGAAGCTGTTGCTGACAAAAAAAGATGTTCCTACATAAACTCAGAGAATTCAATATCATACTGACCAGCACTATCCTTTAAACACTGTGGACTAAAATTGATCTATGAAAATATGATTTTCCCTTTTTTGTGAATGTCACTCACACTGGTATAAAACAGAAATGGTAAATCAAGACAGAGTTACTCTATTAGACTGGGATGGATGGTCTTTTGTATGTGGATGTGCACAGATATATTTTACAACTTATACACATAAATGTAACCAGCAGTGATGCAGTGGTCCTGTATGTATGTCAGAACTGAAAGGCAATGTAATATTTAGCACAGTTACTCTATGAAGCTACATCTTTAATAATGCTGTGACCCACTTCCTTGTAGTAAGTCAACAGTTTCTTCATTACCACCATCTAACTGCCATGACAATAAATGTTGCCAACCTTCCCTAATGTCACTGACCTGTCTGCCATTTTAATTATTCATCGAGTGTGTCTGTCCCGTTTATCTCAGCATGCTTTAATTGAATGCGAAGCCTCTGACTCACCCAACATTCATGTCCCCATTCAACAATTTCACCTAATATAGTAGAGACTGAGCAGAATGTATGGAAAAACAGTGCAAGTAGAAATTAAGATGAGCTGCTAGCTAAATATTATGAGAGTATACATAAATATACAAATTATGCTCTGTACCAAAAGAGGGAGTCTTTTGTTTGAAGGCTTAGAACCAGCTTTAAATCAGCTTGACAACATTTTGTTATATTAATAGCATGTGATGTAAAATGTTTACATGTGCAAATAACTAAGATAAAATTTGTTTAAAAATACAACACAATCAATTAAGTTACTCGAAATCAAATCACAAAAGTAGATGGTTCAGATGACCCATATGTACTTGTCAAAGTAAACTGGAGTCCAGTGTATTGAGCAACACTGACACCCTGTGGTTATTTAATATTTACACAGAGGACTTGAAACACTTCCCACCTCTTCTCTGTTACTTTTAAACAGCAAGACATAAGAGGTTACTTTAATTTACACCCGATGACCAAAAATTGTGTAATATAATTTAACACCACTAGGTGCCAATTGTAGATTGAGTGGCCTTGATCTAGCAATGACCTATATATTAACCTGAAAAAAGCATAGTGCCACATACTGTACAAATGACACATAAATGGCATGGTCAATATATACTGGGTCAATAAATACACACATTATTCTAAAACCAAGCTAACAGTCTGACACACAGCATGACTGCAGTTATTGTAGTGATGTTTTCAGAGCCCTAGGGTCTAAACGGTGGTACAGCCTAGTCCTACAGTAAACATCATCACATGCTATGACGTTTTCAGTGGAACACTAGACACAGTGTTATATTTTCACTTCTCGAAAGAATGTGGTGATTCAGAAGTGTACACAGGAAGGATGGGTAAGCACACCATGATATCACTGCTGGGTATAGTTACAGGTGCACCTGGCCACCACAGCCAAACTTTTCTGGCAGGTTCTTTCACTTATTTTAATTATTTCCACAGTTCTGGGTTTGCTTACTTCATAAATACTGGTGACTTATCTGGACATCCATGGATCACTTTAAAAATGTTTGGAAATTTGCAGAATTAAATTACAATTACATTTTAAATATGTATTTAAGTAAGCCAGGCTAGTTAAGCAATGTTCTCATTCACATAATGAAACCAGAATTCAACACAGCCACACCTGGTAAGTGTTTGCTAGTCACCACAGTGTTTAACTAAGGAAACAACAAAATGTAATAACATAGAAAAAGCAGGGGACTCCTCGGTAAATGAAAATGCACATTTACTCTGATACTGTACTATTTCCATTTAATGCCACTTTATACTTCTACTCCATAACAGTTCAGAGGGAAATATTGTGAATATTTATGTAACAGCTTTAGTTCCATTATATTTACTTTATAGATTAAGATTTTTCATCCCACTGTAATTAACACATTATTTTGCTCATTATACTTCAGAGTTGGCTGGGCTCTCTCACTCTCTCCATGCCTCATTTGAGTCATTATTAGTCTATGTATTCTAGACAAACATTCCTCATATATTTGCAAACTTATTTCATGGTGTTTATCTAGTCTTAGATCACAAGACACATATCTGCGGTCTGTCCCTAGCGGGAGCCAATCCCAGCCGGCAATTGGGCGAAGGTGGGGTACACCCTGGACAGGTCGCCAATCCATCGCAGGGCTAACACATAGACAAACAACCACGCACACGCACACGCACATGCATATGCACTCCTATGGGCAATTTAGAGACACCAATCAACCTAAGCTGCATGTCTTTGGACTGTGGGAGGAAGCCGGAGTACCCGGAGAGAACCCACGCAAGCACGGGGAGAACATGCAAACTCCACACAGAAAGGTCCCAGGTGGGGCCTGAACCTGGAACCTTCTCGCTGTGAGGCAACGCTAACCACTGTGCCACCGTGCTGCCCCTGTCCCTAGCATATGGAAAAATATGTCCTGTCATTTAAATTAACTGGCAGAGAGAAATTAAAGGATGTGACTCCAGTCCGTCCGAAGCATAAAGTCGAGATTTCATAAAAACATCCACAAATTCTTCAGTACTAGAAGAGGTGATGATGTGGAGGCAGCAGGTTGAGATGAGGAGGTTTATTTGCAGAGAAAGGGACTGAGATACCAAATAAGATGGGGAAGTGATATGAGATGGAGGTTTCACAGATTTCACTGAAAAGGACAGGAAGCCCACATGAGAGGACAAGGTCAAATATGTCTATGTTGATGTGTTGGCCCATGCACAACGTGAATGAGGCCAAACGACACGACTACAAGGACCATAATGCATTGCAGCGAAATAGTCATTATCATGACACATCTTCAACATAAGGAAAAGCTTCCTTTTTGAAAGCGTTTTATTTGCTAACGTTGGGGGAAGGTTGGCTTTTTTATGGTTACCATTTTGAGAAATAAATAAACATTTGTCTGGGCCAGCAGAGACAGTCAGGCTCTAAATATGAGCCAAAAGTGATCTACAGCTTGCTTTCTAGCAGAGAAGCTCGCTAAAAGACAGCTTCACAGGCTAGTACGCGCTAACGTTAGCTAAATGAAGAGACCGGATCCGTAATATATAACATTAGAGAGCTACATTCATCAAGGAGAGCAGCTGGAAGGGATTTGCTGACGTCTTATCTGCAGGTAAGTAGCAGAAGTAAAGCAAAGTAGTAACGCGAGGTAAATAGCTAACGCTAACTAACACCATTAAGCAACGTTAATGTTACCAGTGTTAATGGTAATTCTTTTATAAACTGCAGATTACTAGCTAAACTTGACGGCTAAGTTAGAATCATGATTCGTGGACTTGAAGACGGGTAACGTCAACCTAGCTAGTGTATGAAGTCCCCGCTTAAAATCACTGACACACCTAATTAGTTAAACGTTTTCTGTAAACGGGTGGCATAGCGTTAGTCAAACGTGGTCCCATAAACTAGCTTAAACCAATGTTCGCCGTGTGACCTGTTATCACGTGAGGTGCCGCAACACAAGACACAAAACTCACTTTCTCCAATTATAAAATAGTCGGATGTTATTGCTGCTCTTTGTTAATTTTGTGGCTAAAACCTTGACATTTAAACACTTGTTTCCCATGTACTAAAAGTGTTATTTTGTGTAACGTTGAAATGACTCATTTTTGCTAACAGCTTATCCATCAACTGTAAGCGTGAAGTTATCTTGCGCCGGGAAATTGAGTATATCAAGAAATCTTTAAGAAGTGATAATGACGTATTTGATCTGTGCGTGTTGAGACTCCTCAGTTGACCCTACCGGCTTCTTCAGCAAAGTTAAGAGGTCACAGACTGTAGAAGTTGACACCACACAAAGTGGATCAACTAGGCGTGCAGTGTTGCTGTAAGGTGTAACTGCACTGTGGTGACCCACTTGGTTCATTGACACCTTCTCCCCAGCTTCTTAATGATGGCCTCTATTGAACAGGTTTTAGTGCAGGCATTTCTTACAAGCATAACAGTAGGTCCTCCTATCGATACTACCAGTTTGTGTTACTGTATCAGTTGTTACATGCCCAATAAGTCAACCTAGCTGTATTACTGTACTTCTGATATTATAATAAATTTGAATTTGACCCTTATAGAATCAGCATAAAATGTTTTCTCATGCTATTGCAGACATTCATTTGTCTCTATTAAATATGCACTTTCAGTTGTGAACAAATATAAATTCATGATAATAATTTTCCATGACACCTGAGAAGAGCACAGGAACGGATGCCCTCCAGAGACAGGCTATGTCACCTTGCTTGTTCAAGGTCCCACTGAAACTAACTAGTTTGTCAGTAATCAAGCTGGCTGCATTTATTTTGCAATAAGAGAAATTTTGATGTCGACCTCAAATGACTGACACAAAATGCCATTTGTTTTAAATGAAAGTATAGGTCCCCAGGATCCAACTCATTTACAGTGGGTCCTCTCACAATATTGCCAAAATGTTTTCACGAGCCCAAGTCTCATTGTGGGACTGATTTTATACCATTTAAGCACAGTATGATGAACAGAAACAATTTACAGATTATCTCTTTCCTCCTTCAGAACTGCGTGTTAAATCAGTCCTACAGGCTTGATGCAGAACCAAAACATTCTCTGTTGACATGCTTTATCTCTCCTCTTCTTTCTTCCTAACAGCATGTCCATAGAGGCCCTGGACTGAAATTACAGACTACAGGCAAAGATGAACACATCCTTCTCATGGTTTCCCATGAACCTCACCTGGAGTGGGAGGGTGTTGTGAGAGAGGAGGAAGGAACATAAGAGGACTATAAACAAGAGCCATGAATCTCCATCAGGTCCTCACAGGGGCTGTCAACCCTGGAGACAATTGCTTCTCTGTAGGTAGTGTCGACAATGTGCCATTCACGGTAAGATGTTTCAAGTTCTGAAAGTATTCCCCAGCTGTTTGTGAGCTCTGATTCTTAGGGGGTGGCAAAATTTTTGTTTTTAATGTAGGTAGAACAGAGATTCTGATGCCAAGAAGGCTTAACTAATGGCAGTGTTACTCTCTGGACTAAGACCTAAGTCAAGGTGATGATCATGTTTAGTACCAAGCCATTCTAGAATTTTTCAAGGTGTTTAAAGGCACAGTCAACTGAGTGTATGGGAACTTCTGACCCACTGGAATTATAAGTGAAATACTTTTTCTGTAAACAACTGTTGGAAAAATTGCTTTTGTCATGCAAGTACATGTCCTAACTGACTTGCTAAAATGGGAGTTTAACATGACATCTGTGGTGTGGTGAAAAAAACAATCAGTTTTATTGACTTTAACCTAAGTGCATGTAAACTTCTGTGGTATTTTTAAGCCAAGTTAAATCTGGAGCCCTGATCATCTTTCTCTTATCTAGGATCAAATTGAGTTTAGCAGATGCAACTAATTGATCCATTAATGACATGTGACCCTGTGCAAAACATACTGTACTGCTGCCTAAAAATAAAGCCTGTTACATGAAATAAAAGAACAAGCATAATTCCAGCCTGTCATAAGCCATGTTGGATTGGACATTACATTAGGACAGTAGTCCTTTTTCAGAGTAGACATTTTGTGCTCTCTGAGTGCTGTTTAGTTTGGAGTAGTGGATCTTTTTAGAAAGTAACATGTGTATGAGGCCAAGGTAGAGGCTGTTTGGTTTGAAGGAGCAGCTAAAACAAACAAACAAACCAGAACACTCCATTTACTGATTGTATATCCTAGTTTGATGACAACTAACTGAAACTGAAAAATGGTGGTGTTGTGGAGCATACACTTATGAAGTGCAGAACAGTGTTTGGAGTTCACTTTTGTATTATCAAAAATAATGTATTGAGCTTTTTTTCACCTGCAAAAGCTTCATAATGGATACACTATGAATGACTTTAAGCTCATGTGTCCCTTTTTGTTGGGTGCAAGGAACAGCAGTTCTTCCTGCTTGGTCAGTATACCCACATATTATTTTGTATGTGATGCTTAGACTTGATGTTGTTTGAATCAACATTTACACAGAATATTGTGCCACATTTTGTGGCAATATGTTTTAATTTCTGAGAACTGACTGGGCTAGAGAATGGTACTAAACCTGCCACTGCCAGAGGGCTGATTCATGTGGAATTCCAAGACTAACAATGTCAGCCCCTATGACATTGTCAAGAGCCTAAAATATCTTTTAAAAAAGAAGGAAAGGGAGAAAAATCAATGATCCAGTGGCTTATTAGCACTTAAGAATGCAGTGTTATTGTGTTAGTTATATTCATTGCTGTATAATTTAGACGACATTTAGTGAAAACACTTCCCTATATTGCAGAAAACTCTTTGTTAAGGTTTAGGGTGTTGTTGCATGTCTGAAATACTCTGAAATACTTAAGGCAATACCTCTCATGGCTTTGCAGTCTGTGATCTTGATACAACCTCTGTGAGTTACTACTCTCATGCTATTCAGAGACTGGATCAATAGGAGAACTATTTCTGTCCCCCTCTCCTCTTGTGATGGAGGTACAGTCACAGTGAATCACAGCTCATGTGAAGATCATTGTTTGAGTGTCACAGAAATAGAGCATAGAATTCTAACCTTATTTACTTGTAGTTCAGAGTGGTCATATGGTGGCATGTTTGATGACACTGACTTCAGGTTAAGTGTAGTTAAAGTGACCCTTCATGCAATATTCCCTGGATGGAACTGAGTGCCATCTTCCCCCTCTTCTTGTCTCCTTGTCTCTTGATAGGCCTATGCGTCAGGTTGTGATGTGGTGATTTTGGGCAGTGACTTTGAGCGGTTGCAGATCATCCCAGGGGCCAAACATGGCAATATCCAGGTTGGCTGTGTTGACTGCTCACTTCGGGGTGGACAGGTAAGAGTAATGGAGTAATGTTTTGTCTTATTGTCTTCTGAGGCTGACCAGGATGTACCAGAAATACCATACAAACAATGCGATTCATTTTATAATACTATTTGAATCTATTCATGATGTCATAGTAATCACAGTGAAAGCAAATTCAGCTGTATTTGAGCGGTATGTTGTCTCTTTACCTTTTTTAACTGAAGGTCAATAGTGTAACATTGTTTCAGTGGAAGATAAAGGATGTGCTACAGGCAGTGGTGTACTGCCAACAGACAATGCAGGAATTGTGTGATAGAATTGAAATGCACTGTTATCCTACTCAACCCCTAATGCATCCGCTGGTTTGACTGAAATCTAAGTGCAAGAGACAGTAAACTATAGCTTGACCTTCACAGTGAAAAATAAAACTCTTGACCTCAATTTAAGCAGGAGAAAATGAATTCCACTAAAAAGTGTACAGTTGTGTTTTAATAAATGTGAGCTTCCTGTCATCAGCTCTAAATGAGTAGAGTGTGTTATCTTTCTGGTATTTCTTGGTGAACTTGAATGTCTTCCATTCCACACATAGGGACAGTGGCAAGGTGTGGAATTGGTTATGAGTACAAAGGCAGAATTAGATCCTTTTTTTGGTATTAACCTTCAGTTCTTCTTCATCCTTCATACTTCTTTAATTTGCCAGTGTTGTTTCTTCAGTGAAAACCAAAGCATCTTTCATTACCACTACAGGCACAGAATTCACAGTTCCTCATATTTGCTGAGTAACAGTGATTGCTACATCTGCATAAATTTCAAAATTGCTTCATAAAGATATTAAAAACAGAAGTTGTTGTTGCCAGACTATCATTGTAATCTGGGTTTAACTGTCATTGGGGATGCTGTTAACCTTGTTAAAACAGCAGACAAGCTTGATTTTATTCAGATGGAAAAAAGCTCACTCAGTCCTTCAGCACTCCCCTCCTGTGATATTTAATCCAATTCATTTGTTCCCTCACATGTCTCTAGCACGGTCTAGCATCTGTTTAAGTTCGTGTTTCCGCCTGTCTTACCTCACTAACCCACATTGTGATACATATTTGCAGTACTGTTGGTTTTCACAGCATTGTTTACACATCTAAGCGTTCACTTCAGTTGTATTAATTGTAAGCATTAATGATTATATTGAAGATATAAGTACAGTAGTTATTAAAGAATACCACATTCTTTTGAAACATTACTAATCTACAACTGAGAAGAATAGAAACCTGCATGGGGCCTCATTTTATGTTGTCTTCCAGACAACATAAACTCTACAGAACATTGTAAAATAATTCCATTGTTTGAAATTTGTTAGATTACCTCATAATTTGAATGTCTATTTGTTATCAGCATCTTACATCAGGTAATACAGTAAATCTCCTTTGTACAGCAAAAGGCAGGCAAAGCAATATTATAAGGGTAGGACAGGGAGCAGCTGCTGCTAACATCTGAAAGCAGTGGCATTAAATGAACTTTTTAAAAACTTCCCTCATAACTGTTAGCTACTGTAGCTAAAATAGCAGGAGCAGGTTTAAAATGTAATATTGTAATATTCTTGTTGAATAACATAATCTCAAAATGTCTCTGGGTTTTATAGAAAAGGTTTTATAAGTTATTTTTTTGCTACTTGCAGAACAATGATCTACACTATATTAATTATTTTACAGCATACATGTGATATATTTGGCAGTCCTCTAGAATAGAATTAAATGTTAACCTTCTTTCTTTTACTGAACTATGCATCTGGATCTTTATAAGCTTGTTATTTGTGTTCACTGCCAGAGAAGTTTCAACCATTCACTCTGCATAATACTGTGACTGCCACCCATGGAAAATATTTTGGCATATTGCCCTGACCAATGTATACATGGGTGTGTGCGTACATTAGACAAAACAGTGTTGACTCAACACTGGGCTGTTGGGCTTAAGATAATTTTGTTTGTTGCCCAGGGGCAATACTCATTTACTGTTGAGATATGTAATGGTTTATACAATAAACTAAATAATTTTGGTTTGCCACCAGTTTGGGTCTTGAATAAGAATCTGTACTTTTTAAATAATCAAAAACAGTTTGTTTGTTTGTTTTTTGTGGCTATTTCAAAAATATGCAGCTGATATTGTTTCTGTTACATAAACGTACAAGTGATGAGTTTTCAATTAAATGTTTGTGTCTTCAAATGAAAGTTTAATTGTAATTTACAACAGTAATATTTGTTGCAGATTTTGAAATGGAACATAAACCATCTTAATATCTAGCGTTTTGCATTTTCTTTTTGTCTGCTGACAGATTGCAGCTTCCTATGGAAGCATTGTGTGTGTCTTTGAGCCTGTTCAGCACCCAGATCAACAGGACACATCGTTGACTGTGAGTAGCCCACATTATCTTCCAGTCAGTGTGGCTATGCATGTATTCAGATCATCCTCAAAAATGAGATCTTTCTCCTTAAGACAGCAGTCTTCTGAAATATAGCAAAAACATCAGAAAGTCACCGGGGACAAACAAATGTTTTAAATACATGCACATTTTTACTGAAATATTCTTCGAAGTCTTGAAGTCATTGTCACTGCTTATTCATATTTCATATTGTTTATGCCTGTTTTATAGTCAGTGCAGAAGTTCTAGGTTTGACATGTCAGTTTTAAACAGCCATTTGTTGTTAGAGAAGTGAAAGGCTAGTCATATCTATTTAAAATATTTTACACGTTTTAAAAACAATCCAGTACCTCTTGCATTGCAGAGGTTCCCTGGGATCAGAGTCCTTAAGATAGAAGAGTTGTGACACAAAGGTCAAAATGACACCAGGTCAAATGACTCATGTAGCTTCAAATTGTTCTACACAGTCATTCAGATTAATTATTTTCTGTGGGAAACAGTGGGGTTTATCAGCAAATTACTGCTTTCAGTGGCTTGTACAGGCATGCAGACTAATTTTGTATTTTGGTGTTATGTGTAGATAGCCCAGCTAGTCCAGCTCATTAGCTGGGTACGAAATTATTAAAATGACCCAATATCTGAGAGAGACGGTCAGAAATGTTGTTAAAAGTATTTTGGCACTTTGGTGCTGCTCCTAATGTTTTGGAACTATTTGATGTTCCCATGATTCGCCATTATTGTAAAAAAAAAACCAACAAAACAAAAAAACACCTTATAGAGTCAATAGACATGTCGTCACTCTCCTTCTTAATCCACTCTGCCCAGCCACAGTTGCTGCCCATGTGACCTGATCACATGGTGCTCACATGAATGCCTTTGTGTTGTTTCTTCTTGTACAGCTGTGTTACTTTGTACTGTAACTACGGATATATAAGTGACAGAAGGAAATGATTATTTTCAGAACCTGTGTGTAATATTAATGTTATTTCTGTACAGAAGTTGAACTGCCAATGGCACAAGACAGGTCAGTTTGTATTGGAGTCTATGGTACGGAACTTGGCCTGGCACCCCACAGGTACCTCGACTGCAATAGTTGATATTTTTCTCTGAAAGTAACACAAACATACCAAAATAAACAATCATATAATAAATGTTATGTTGATTGTATAAGTCTAGAATATTTGTTGCAGTATATGCCTTCATATTTTTTAACAAATGATATAATATAAAACATTTGTGGTATCTGTCCTGAAAGATATGGAAACATATGTTTGTGTGTATCCAGGCAGCACTCTCCTAACAGGCTCTACTAGCCTCCAGTTGTGGTCTAATGTTGACAGAGTAGAAGTTGAAGCTGAAGAAGGTGGAACACAGACAGAAATGACCATAAAAGACTCTCATTCTGCCTGGAGGTGCATCTGGCAAAGCAAGTAAGAACTGGGATAAACCTGCACATGGTGTTGCCCGCCTCTGTGACATTGAGATAATGATTTTATTGCTTTGCTTCTTTGAAAGGAAGGGAATAACAAGACAAATATTGTTCTTTTTAAAGTATACTCTGACTGTACAATTTACAAATAAGTTGTTAAAATCAGCAGGTATACATTTTTAAGTAATATTTTTTTAAGTTGGTTGGTCATACATCTAACTTTGAATGCATGAGCCTTTGTAATTCTTTCCACTTTGTCTTTTGCAGTTGCCATTAGTTATTATATACTGTATTTTAGATAAAAAATACATGATATTGTACAACTAAGTATTGAAGATCCTGTCATTTATTTTGTTTTTCTGTAGGACAGCATCTCCTATCAATTTAATTAAGTTCTCGCCCGATGGGGAATTTTTTGCTACTGCTGGACAAGTAAGTGGCTTTTAGCAGGAGAGGTTTATGCCTGCAGCCTAATGGTTTCAAGTTGTAGCAGCGTATCCTACAGCCTGGTATCAATTATATCTCTGTCTCTTGTTTCAGGATGACTGCCTAGTAAAGCTATGGTACTGCACCAGTAAGTGGAAGTCAGGTGTTTCTGGACTCTTCACACATCCAGAAACTACTGACAGTGTCCAGAGAGAGCTGGCCTTCTCCTTTGTCTACCTGGCTCATCCCCGTTCTGTTACTGGCTTCTCATGGAGGAAGACCAGCAAGTACATGCCACGGTATGGACACTATCGAGGCAATATTTCACAGCTCCCTTTCTACAGCAGTAATTCATTTATTTTCTCAACTGGCTTGTGTTAACCTAAGCTGACACAGCTGACAGTAACAAGAATGGTGTGATTGCAACAAATATTTAGTTACCTTCAAGGAATTGGCCATAGCCTTAGCAGGGTTTGCACAGTCAAAACAATGCTCAGTTGACAGCTTGGCATAACCTGTTTTTAGGCCTGTTTTACTGGGTAGACAGTATTTTTTGTCCAGTATACTGGATGGTATTTTGTGGGATGGATGAAAACCAAGGAGCTCTTATGAGAAGCAAGTTCCAAACAGGCTAGGGGTGCCCACACTTTTTCACCTTGCAAGCTACTTTTCAAATGACCAAGTCAAAATGATCGGCCTACACTAAAAATACTACACACACGCGCTGGGCACGCACACACCCACACACAAAATATATGTATGAATGAGTGTTGTCGTTTTTATGAGTGGTCTGAAAGTGCTGCTCCACATTTCCCTTCTTCAGATTAGTGATGGTAGATTGGTAGATCAAGCAAACACATTTCCAATATAACGTCATGGAAAAAAACATGGAATGTTTTTGGTATGTTTTCGGTTTTTTACTTGATTCGGCTCCCCCACTCATTTTATACCCTTTAGTAGAAATTAATTTGAAGCTGACAAGGTAATTTGCTCACTGGAGTTTTGCAGTAGCTCGTGCAGTTGACTGTGCATGCTTGGTGACCCGTGTGTCAGAAAAGACAAGATCTCAGACTGGCTGCCCTGCATGTCAATCAAATAGCAAATGCCATAGGGAGGATGGGTGATAGGCTATATATCAGGGGCGGGCAAACTACGGCCCGCGGGCCACATCCAGCCTGTTGGTCCTGTTAATCCGGCCCGCCCAGGATTGGTACAGGATTGCCCTAATCAAGTCATAATCATAATTATGACTGCATTCATTTGACCTTGTCCTGTAATGCCTGACGTTCCACCAGGTGGCGCATTAGGCGCGGTGATACATTGACTTGATTTTGCGGAGCCAGGGCTACTCTCAGTTATTACTCTGCTACTGCTCTGAACCCATCTGTAACAATGAGTCGGCCAAAGAAAAGAAAGGTCGACAGTGAGTGCTGAGTGTTCAATAAGGAATGGACAACTAAATATTTTTTTACTGAAGTCCAGTCAAAGGCTGTATGTCTTATTTGCCAAGAAACCGTTGCGGTTTTAAAGGAATACAACATCAGCCGTCACTTTTCTACCAAGCATGCTAATTATGCTAACAACCAGTCAACGCAAGAACGGACGGCTACTGCTCAGAGGCTGGCAGCTAGTTTGCAGGCTCAGCAAAACACCTTTATCCAACAAACTGCCATCCAAGAATCAAGCATGAAGGCAGGTTATTTGCTGGCATTCAAATTAGCAAAGGCCAGCAAGCCTTTCTCCGAAGGGGAGTTTCTCAAAGAGTGCATGGTAGAGCCAGCAGGTATCTTGTGTCCTGAGAGCAAGAACAAATTTGAAAAAATTAGCTTATTATGCAGGACAGTGACTCGCCGTGTTGAACTAATTGACGAAGACTTAGCTAGCAAGCTAAACAAAAAAGCGGAGTCATTTACATTATATTCCTTGGCATTGGATGAAAGTAATGACATAAAGGACACCACTCAGCTTTTAATTTTTATCAGAGGAATTAATGACAATTTTGAGATAAGGGAGGAATTTTTGGCCATGGAATCCCTAAAGGGGAAAACGGGTGGAGAGGACTTGTATGACAGTCGGGTGTCGGGAGTCATCGAGAGGCACAAACTACCTTGGAGTACGCTTGCCAACGTTACCACAGATGGATCACCAAATCTGACTGGAAAAAATGTCGGGCTGCTCAAAAGAATCCAGGAGAGGGTGAAAGAGGACAACCCTAAGCAGGAGGTAATTTTCCTACACTGCATAATCCACCAGGAAGCACTGTGTGAATCCGTACTGCAGCTTGACCACGTAGTGAAGACTGTTGTAAAGCTCGTTAACTTTATTCGAGCAAGGGGACTTCAGCATCGTCAGTTTATTAAGTTTCTTGAAGAAACAGACGCTGATCACCAGGACTTATCACTCTAATGTCCACTGGTTAAGGTTGGGGAAAGTATGTCAACGAGTGTGGG